AGAAAAATACCATATGAGATTGCTCATATGTGGAATCTAAAAAAACAAACAAAACATACATACAAAACAGAAACAGACTCATAGACACAGAATACAAACTTGTGGTTGCCAAGGGGGCGGGGAGTAGGAAAGGATAGACTGGTATTTCAAAATGTAGAATAGATAAACAAGATTATACTGTGTAGCACAGGAAAATATATACAAGATCCTATGGTAGCTCACAGAGAAAAAAAATGTGACAATATATATATGTTCATGTATAACTGAAAAATTGTGCTCTACACTGGAATTTGACACAACATTGTAAAATTATTATAAATCAATAAAAAATGTTTTAAAAAAAACCATAAAATCAGCTGCTCACCCTGAACCTTCCATTCCACTCCATCCCCAGCCTCAACCAGCTCCCAACCCCCACACCCCCAAACTCCCCATCACCCAACAGCTAAAGAGTAACTCTCGGACCCTGTTGCAGCATCTGAGTTGACATAGGTCCTGACTGGTCCATACTCACATCTGACCAGTCAACAGATAACTTTAACAACTCCCTTGGTGATGGGTCAGTCATTTATCACCTTCAACTCACATTGCCAAGACTCTGCCTTCAGCAACCTACTTACCTTCAGCAACAGTAACAATAAAGATGGTAACAATAAAGAACTGGTTAAACTAGAAGGGACTCTGCCCACTGAAGGACAACAGGCGGGAGAAACATACAAATAGCTTCCTCAATACATGGCTGCAGGGAACAGGGAGGGAGACATAAAACTGATACTTTAAACTGTTTTAAGGGAAGTCCTATATTTACACCTCCCCATGCTAAGCAGCCTGCCACAGATACAATCTTTTTCTTCAACTTGCAATTCACACACCTGACTCGAGTGTTCAGTGTTTTGCAAATGATTGAGGTCAACTTTAAAACTTTAAAAAATACACGTATTTCATACATAAATATGCTCATTTGAGGCACAGTAAAAAATGTGAACAATCTCTCTTCAATGACACATGCAGCTAAATGGAAAGAACAAGATATTTAACAAAACCATCCCATCCAACAGGGTCCACGAACTCAAAGACATTTGTCTTTTTTAATCTGTATTCTCCTAACTCCTAATTTGAGATCACTGCTCAATTTGTATATTATGTAAGGATCTGTCTCTCCAACATTAAGAAGCTCTAGGTACAAATCAGCAAATTATTTATGTAGAAGATCAAAGAGTAAATATTTCAGACTTTGCCAGCCACATGGTCTCTGTTGTAACAGTTCAAGCACACTATGGGAACACAAAAGCAGTCACAGATGACAGGTAAATGAATGGTGTGACCATGTTCCAGTAAAAGTTTATTTATGAAAACAGGCGATGGTTTGCCAACCCGTGCTCTAGGCATAAACACTGGTGAATCCCTCTTTGGTATTAGTCTTGACAAGAGTAGAGCAGGCCCAGAGCAGACACAGGCCTCAGCATCTCAGGATACAAGGGACAGAGAAGGCACGTAATGTGATTCCAGATGTCACAGGGTCACCTACCACGGGTATAGCAAAACAACAAATGTGGATACACTACAACAGGCATGGTTAGGATAGCAAAGGATTTATTACCTCAAGTTATTTTTCTCCCCAAGCTGACAAGACATACAAAATAACAATCTAACTTCTATTTCTTCATGTGAATGCTTTTTGTCTCCAAAGATATCTGCAATTTGGGCCAATATATCTTTCCACCAACAGCCTCCCTTCAAACCTACCCGGTTTAGCTCAGTGAAAACATACTAAGCCAGATACTCCTTTTTTTTTTCCACACTGCAGTGTCTTGAGCAGTAAGATGGTGTCACAACCTCAAAGAATCCACAGCCACATACAACTAGTTTCCATGATACATGGCAAAAAACAGAATAAAGTTAAAAAGAGGCAAAGACAAGTATCACAGCACATGGAGAGGAGGCATACAGAGTCCAACCTCCAGACTCAGGGAAAACTGCCAGAGACTTTGCCTTCACAGAATCTTCCAAATGAGCCAGAATTAGCTAGCAAGAAAAGGACAAAGGGGCGTGATGGACAGTGGAGACAATAAAAAGAAAAGCACACAAACACAAAAACAGAGTGTTCGGGGTAAAGAGCCATCCCATATCAAGACAGCACCCCACAGTTTGTATCCAACCAAGCCACTCCAACTTTAAGGTCAGGAGTAATGGGGAGCAAAACTGGACAGACAAGGAGGCCCTGAAGGCCATGCAAGGAGCCTGGACTTCACTGCTTAGACAGTGGGAGCAAATGAAAAAGTTTAGGCAGAAGAATGATAACTTGTGCTTTAGAGAGATCATTCTGTATGCAGCAGGCAGAATGGGTGAAGGATGGGGAAAAAGAGAAAGGTAAGAAGCAAAGAGGAAAGATAAAAAGAAAAGGCAAGAGACAAACCCTGAGACTGCTACAACAGTTCCACAGAAGATGCCAAGACATCAGTACGGCTCAGAGAAGGTCAAATTTGAGGGAAAAGTCGAGAGTAAAAATAAAGGACCTGACGACTAGGTTAGGAGTGAGTGAGGAAGTGAGGAGAGTAAGATGCTCCTACAATACAGTGGCGCCATTAAGTGAGATCAGGAGTCAGAGGAGGAAGAGCAGGTTTGAAGCAAAGAGGGTAACACAAGCTGGGAAATGCTGAGCAGAAGTCTGTGGGATGTGTAAGGGGCTGCACCTAGCCAATAAATTAACATGCGACTACAAAGCTAGAAACTAACAGGGCTAGAAATACAGATACGGAAGCCATCAGCATACAGGTGATGGCTAAAACTAAAAGAGTAGATGAGATTACCCAGAGAAAGAGCACAAGGGAAGATCAAAAGGCCAAGAATGAAGCCCTGAGGAACACTCATTCTTAAAGAGCAGACAAAAAGAGAAGGGATCAGACACATGAAGGAAGGAAGCATGGCTGTAGTCCACACTGGTCATCTCTGGCTGCCCAGTTTTCAACTCTCATATGTGGCCGGCTTCCCAGTTCAGTTTAATTATGTCACCTTACAAGTATTTTGGTTCAACATTCAGCACAGGATACCTACGAAGTGAGCAGGAGTCTACACTCTTTCCTTTCCCCCGGGGCTACCGCTGGCATGTTGGCTTTTCATCCACAGGCTTGTGCTGCCTCAGGAGTAGTGCGGCTCACACATCCTCCAGCACAACCTCGGCACACAACTGGCTCGAGGCTAGAACAGGCCTCCTTTGTTTCAGATGACCCCCAGCGGGTGTGCCCCCAGTCAGCATTATGTGACATGGCCACCCCTTAGTAGGAAGCTGAGAATATGCACATTTAGCAGAGGATCAGGGATGCTGCCACCCAAACCCCATCAAGGGAGAAGGAGGAAAGCAATTTAACAGTAACTGCCAACTTTCCAAAAAAACAATCTTTTTCCCCCACAGGTTAGGCAAGATCAGTTTCAACTAAGACTGCTACTTGATACTTGAGGGGACCAGAAGTCTCAGACAGGGACTTGCAGAGCAGTGGATCAAAGGTCTGAGCCAGCGCACACTTGAGGGTTAGTGGGGTTCACAAGAACGTTTCAGTGGAGGGCTGGACCAGGAGACCCATTACGGTGAACTCATTAGTGATTCAGAGATGGAGATGGGCAAGTACAGACAACTACCACAGTAAGCTGGCGGAGACTCAGCAGAGACGGGCTCATAGCTAACGGCAGTTCTCTGTCTCATGTCTCATTTTATTTAAGATATTAAGTATCTGCACGTAGGATGGGGGAAAATGTAAG